CTCTCTCTCTCTCTCACTCTCACTCTCTCTCTCTCTCTCTCGGATTCTCAGTCGATCAGGAGGCGTCCGATACTACTTCCGGCGGTCCAACACCACTTAGAATCGACTGAGAGAATGGCGAAAAGAGGTGGATCATCTGTAATTATGGCTATTAAAATCCATCGCCTTCTATTTTATCTTTAGTTATTTTCATTTTTTTTATTTGATATTTTTTGAAAGATTTCTGCTTCTGTATCTTCACGGTCTTCAAATCTTCGTTTGATTAAAGTGGTTTGGGCAATTTCATAATATCCAAATGCCCTTCAGATATCGTTTGTGGTTATGTGTAACATAGTAAGTCTCATTATGTTATTCGTGTTTCAAAATCCATTCAGATGAAGGCAAGGCTGAACCAGTTGGTCATCTTTATTCGTAGTCCGTGAGGTTGTGAATTTTTTTTCGAGATTTGCCAGTGTATTCTCACTTATGAAACTTATTTGGAAATGGTTTTCTCACTAAAATTGTTTTTCTTTTTGTTTTGACCCCAAATAAATTTCAAAAACCATTTGCGTCAGAAAATTATGGTACTAATATGCTTAGGAGGTATGTATTTTCATCATTTTCACATCTTTCAGTTCTATTTTCCCTATGATTCAAAGCCTCAAAGATATGTTTAGATAGCTTCAGCTTCATTATATGCTTTATTTGCTAAAAGTCCTTTCTTTTTACAGGCACTTACCAAGGCTTCTAATTCCCATAGTTAGGAAGCAACTTCCACTACCAGAAGACTCTACTGTCACGAGACTGATGGGTGACCTCCCCAACTCCATGGAAGCAAGAATGGAGAAGATGTTGCAGAACTTTCAGAAAAACCAATCCACCCCCAGCTCCAAGTCTGGTACAACCTTCGGCAGTAAAGACCCCATTATCATCTCGTCACCCTCGAGCCCCCGATTCCAGAAGACCGACGAATCTCTCTTCTCACTCCCGAAGGTCAAGCTTCCTACCTTCGAGGGTACAGATGCTCGAGCATGGGTCAGCAAGGCAGAGCTCTATTTCCAGGTACACAAAACCCCCACAGATCAGAAGCTTAATCTCTCCCAAATGTGTATGGACGGCTCTGCTTTACACTGGTTTACAAACCTTCTTATTCGACACCCTAATACCACCTGGGAACAATTCCGATTGAAACTCATCAATCGGTTTAGTGGTACTAAATATCGCAATGCTCATGAAGCTCCTGGGTTGTTATTCCAAGAGGAAGGTGTAGAAGATTACATTGAAGATTTTGAAGAACTATCAGCCTTAATTCCCGATCAATCGGAAGAACAGTCGATCGGGTGGTTCTTGAGAGGTCTAAAAACTGAAATACGAAACTGGGTACGAACCTTGAACCCGTCATCGTGTGATCAAGCAATGGAGTACGCCAGAAACGTTGAAGCAGCGATGGGTGGCCGCCTAGAGAAACCCAACCCCCGACAGCGCTCAGGTAACTCGTATTCAAGCCCACCTTCTTTAAAATATGGGAGCCCAATTAACAGCCAACGCAATTTAACTCAATTCTCTATCAAGCCCAACTACATTGCGGGCTCCTCAACTCCGACCCATACCCGACCACCCGATAAACCTAATTTTGGTAACTCATCTCGTATACCCAGCGTTCGCCACTTAACATCCTCCGAGTGGGAAGATAGACGCAAAAAGGGCTTGTGTTTCAAATGTGGGCAACGCTTCTCCCCCCAACACAAATGCGCTGATGGTGGGTTACAGATCCTCCTCCTCGCCGACGGCGAAACAGTAGATGACGACGGAGAAGTCTGTTATGCTGAAGCTACTGTTGAAGACGAAGAAAACCAAGGGGAGTGCTTATCCTTGGAACCTTCACTCCCCTCTCAGTTAGACATGCCCAAATTATCAACTATCAAACTTGCAGGAGAGATTAACGAGGTTCCTGTGCTCATCCTGGTTGATAGTGGGGCAACCCACAATTTCTTGTCTAACAACTCGCTACTACTCTAGGGTTGGCCATTACTCCCTCCCGAAGGGTGTGTATCAAGATGGGGGACGATCGGAAAGTTTGGATGTCTGAACAGTGTATAGAAATACTGATCAAGTTGGGCTCATTCTCTTTCGTCACTAGTGCCCTAGTGTATGATTTGGGCTCACTAGATATGATTCTTGGCATAGCCTGGTTAGGGACATTGGGAGATGTCTTATGCAACTGGTCTCAACGCCGAATCCAGTTTTGGGACGGGAATGTCCTAATCAAACTTCAAGGGGTAGCACCTAAACACAAGGGTCTTTCATCACTCCTTTCTTTTGGGGACGACTCAAGTGAAGATGCTCCAGGAATCCCGACACCATTAGGTGATGATCAAAAATCCCAGCTTGATCGACTCCTAAAAAGTTTCTCTGATCTGTTTTTGTCTCCAAAAGGGCTCCCACCATCCCGGTCAATTGAACACGCGATCAATCTAATAGAAGGACATGGACCGGTTTGTGTTCATCCATACAGGTACCCACACCTCTATAAGGACGAGATACAACATCAAGTACAAGAGATGCTCGAACAAGGAATCATCCGCCCTAGTCACAGCTCATTCTCGAGCCCAGTAGTCCTGGTAAAAAAAAAAGACATGTCATGGCGGCTTTATATCGACTACAGAGCCTTAAACCGAGTCACAATCTTGGATAAATACCCAATCCCCACTGTAGAAGAGCTCCTAGATGAATTACATGACAACAACTTCTTCTCCAAAATTGATCTCAAGTCGGGATTCTATCAAGTAAGGGTAAGAGAAGAAGACATCGGGAAGACATCATTCCGCACCCATAACGGACATTACGAGTTTCTCGTAATGCCGTTTGGTTTAACCAATGCCCCTGCAACTTTTCAAGCCTTAATGAATGATGTTTTCCGACAATTTCTGAGAAAAGACGTTCTAGTTTTCTTCGATGATATTCTGGTTTATAGCAATACATGGACCAGCCACTTAACCCTACTATCCAACGTGTTGTTACTCCTCCGATCACACAAGCTGGTAATCAACAATAAGAAGAGCACATTCGGTACACAATTTGTAGAGTACCTTGGGCATATCATTGATGGGAATGGGGTTTCCATGGACCCTGCTAAGATCACTTCGGTCCTCAATTGGCCAACTCCGAAGACAGTGAGGGCTGTTCGCGGGTTCTTAGGATTAACCGGGTACTACCGGAAATTCATTAAGGATTACGGGAAAATCGCCAAACCGCTGACAGAATTGACAAAAAAGGAAGGCTTCTTATGGAACGATGCAACACAAGCAGCATTTGAGAAGTTAAAGAATGCCATGGTAACAGCCCCAGTACTTGCACTTCCAGATTTTTCCTCGCCATTCATAATCGAGTGTGATGCTTCTGGAAGGGGACTTGGAGCGGTGTTGATGCAGTCCAAACGCCCAATCGCGTTCTTTAGCAAGGCTCTTTCAGATCAAAATCTGAACAAATCTGCATATGACAAGGAACTAATGGCCTTAGTTCTAGCAATCCAACACTGGCGACCGTATTTGATTGGGCGACCTTTCATCGTCTCAACTGACCAAAAAAGTTTAAAATTTCTACTCGAGCAAAGAATCACGATGACAGATCAGCAGAACTGGATTGCAAAACTGTTAGGGTACCAATTCTCTATAATTTACAAACCGGGAAGTGAGAATAGGGCGGCTGACTCGCTCTCGAGAATTCCGTAGGGTGGGTTACAAACTCTCATCTCTACTCCGACATGGCTAGAAGGGGACCAGCTCTCTACGGGTTCTGATTCAGACCCGCACATACAGAAGATTATTCAGTCTTTGGTTTCTGACCCTAGATCCAAACCCGGTTACTCAGTCATCAATGGGCAACTTTACTATAAAGGGCAACTAGTCATTCCCGCAACTTCACCTTGGATCCCAAAATTATTGGATGAATTCCACGGAAGTCCATCCGGAGGTCACTCCGGATTTTATAGGACCTACAGACGTTTAGCAGCCCAAATATACTGGATTGGAATGTCTAAAGCAGTAAAACAATTTGTTCGTTCCTGCGATACATGTCAAAGGTACAAATCATCTACACTCTCTCCCAACGGTCTGCTACAACCCCTCCCTATCCCACAACAAGTTTGGGAAGACATTTCTCTGGATTTTATCACCGGGTTACCAAAATCTAAAGGTTTTGAAGTGATACATGTGGTTGTCGATCGTCTGTCAAAGTACTGCCATTTTATACCATTAAAACACCCATTCACAGCCAAAATTGTTGCTGAAGTGTTTCTAAAAGAGGTCATTAGACTACATGGCATTCCCCAAACTGTCCTAAGCGACCGAGACCCCTTATTTTTAAGCACGTTTTGGCGAGAAATTTTCTTATTACAGGGAAGCAAGTTGAACTTCAGTTCAGCGTATCACCCGGAAAGCGATGGACAAACAGAAGTCGTTAACCGCAGCTTAGAGACCTATCCGAGGTGTTTCGCATCGGAACAACCTAAGACATGGTCCTTTTGGCTACTTTGGGCCGAATATTGGCATAACACAGCATATCACGTCTCCACCAATACCACTCCTTTCGAAATTGTGTATGGTCGGCCCCCTCCCACAATCACACGATTCATTCCGGGCGAGATACAATGTGAGGCAGTAGCACGCGATCTGGTTGATAAGGACGAGGCATTTAAACAACTCAGGTATCATCTCTCCCGGGCCCAAGAGCGTATGAAAAAATCTGCCGATAAGCACCGCCGTGATGAGTCCTTCTCTGTGGGAGAATGGGTCTTTCTAAAACTCCGTCCTCATAGGCAGCAATCAGTAGTTCGCCGCATCAATCAAAAATTAGCAGCACGATTCTACGGACCTTTCCAGATCACAAACCAGATGGGACCCGTTGCTTACAAACTTAATCTTCCTGCTGAGGCCAAAATCCACCCGGTTTTCCATGTCTCATTGCTGAAACGAGCCATAGGGAACCACCAGATTGATCCGACACTTCCTAAAGGTCTCGAGATGGACCCCACCCACATGCCTACACCAAAACGATGTTTGGCTATCCGAGAGATCTCAAAGGCTGGTCACAAAACTCCACAATGGTTGATACAATGGGATGCAGACACCACTGAAAATGCTACATGGGAAGATGCCTTCCACATTCAAAGCCAATTCCCTGAATTCAAGCTTGAGGACAAGCTTGCTCCTCTAGCGGGTGGTATTGATAAGGAAGACGTTGGTCCAGAACTAATCCAACCCACTGACTTTGAGCCCAAAAAACCCAACACTTGGAAGGTTTACAAGAGGAGACACAAAAGAGACACAGGGGACAAGGGTAATGGTCTGACCACTAACCTCTCGCAGGACTGAAGAGAGAGAAAGAGAAGAAGTCTATTTAGCAAGGAATGGAGCATTCTCATTGCCATCTTTTATCTTTTCTGTTTTGTTGTATTCGGCTATATGCTTGGGCAGGAAGAATCTTTATGATTCTTCTCTGATTGTTTTGTTTATCCATTTGAATGAAGAGATTTGCTTCCTTGCTATCATTTTCCTGTTAAGACTTACTCATCTTTGCATTCTGATATCTTCATTCCTATCATTTTCTTTATTATGGTTCAATTTTTTTTTGTATTTTATATATACACTAAATTTCTAATTCATGTTCAAACCAATTTATTCATAATTTTGGTGTAAATAGGTTGAAATTTTGATGGGACTTGAAGAAGAATTTGGAATCAGTGTGGAAGAAGAAAGTGTACAGATCATTACAACTGTTCGGGATGTTGATTTGATTGAGAAGGTCATTAAGATAATGGTGGATGTATATATATATATATATATCTCCTAAAATTTAGGATGCTATGAAGATGAGAAGGTCACTTGAGAACACTCTTGAACCGAATGAGTTGCTTCACAGATTTGGGGCCAATCTTGTGAGGTATTTATCTTGGCAATGTCATTGGTATCTTCTTATCCTTTCCTCTCTCTCTCTCTCTCTCTCTCTCTCTCTCTCTCGATATTACAATGATGTAATAGAATAAAATGAACTAGAACGCTATAATAAGAAATAAATGAAAGTATGTTGCTATTTTTTTTTCTATTTAGTCCTTTTTATTTTTTGCAAAGAGTTGTACTTAACTTTCTCTTTGTTGATGGGAACTTACATAAGGAATGATGAATTTGTTATTCAATTGATATTGGACTTGGTTTTGTAGGTGACACATGTTAAAAATCTCGTGTTTTAGAGGTTCCATGCGATCCCACCACTGTTGGCAGTGATGAATTTTTTCTGCTTCTTTAAAACTGCCAAAGGGATGATGATCTGTCTTGATTCTTATTTACAGGGTTTTAATTTATGGATGATTGATACTCACACTTCCGTCCTTATTTCATCGTATATTAGGAAAATTGACAAATCCTTTATTCATTTTAATATATTTTTATTGTTTTAAGTAGAGTTGGAGTATTTACTGCTTCGAAGGGGCTCACCTACGATTTACAAGATGGGAACAATTCAAAGTCTTCTTTCAAGAAGGACAATTTACAAAGATAGGTGTTTTAATTGTTTGGGTACGTGATTTGATTTTACTGGATATGGTTTGAATCAAATTTTTTTATATTAATCAATAACTTTTTGAACCATAAATAGGCATGTTTCAGTGCATACTGCCCTGTTGCAAATCTGAATAAGAAAAGTGGATTTTGTGATCCGTAAGTTATAGTATACATTATTTTGGATTCCTTCTTTTTTTATATAGTTTTTAAGAATTGATTATGGTTTATATAGATTACTAAAGACATAAATAGGTAGAGAAAAATTTCAGATAACACTACCAACAACCTGCTGCAGGAAAGCCAAATTACACTTTAGGAGTAGCTGATATGTGGGGTCCGGTATAGATGGTTATTGACATGTTTTTTGTGCCAGTGCATTATTGTCCAACAACAAATAAGGAAATGCCTTGCCCCAAAGGGTATTATTGTACCTTCACAGTCTGCAATATTGAAGTTAATATACAACTGTTAAGTTTAGAATTAGATAAAAGAAGTTTCAGAATCTTGGATTCCATTCCAATTTTGAAAAAAAACAATTTGTCCCACTGACGTGTTAGATTTTTTGCTACATGCAAGAAAATCAACAAAACTTTCAATCATTTGTTGACTATTTCCATTCTTAATTTGTATAATTGCACTTTGGAATATGTAGTAGGTTTCTAAGAACTAATTTCAGGATTTTTTGGGATTCTATTGATGACATTATAAATATTTGTAGGAAGATGGAGGAGACACCTTTTAGGGAAAGAGAGAAACAAATATTGTTTCAAAGCATTCAGAATAACATTCATCTCAAGGGTCCAATGGATAAAATCAAATATGTTGATATCCCTCTTGCATTGGCTAGTTCTTCCCTCTTTTTAATTGTAAGTATGTGTATTTATTCACCTTCACTGAAATTTGTTGGGTTTTTTGTAATTTGTTTGTATTCTTTGTAATACATGTTAGAGGAATTTCTAACATGTCTCATGGTTTCTCCATTTTTTCTCCTCGGTTTTTTCCCCATCTATAGTATCGTTCTCAAGTTTTGATCTTTGTGTTCTTACTCCTGTTAAAACCTAAATGAAAACAAATTGTGGTTTTATTGACAGACTGCAAAGAGATTAACTACACTACCCTGTCATAATATAGCATCCAAAAAATCCATGGAAAATTTTTCATTTTTAAAGCATTAATCCATACAACAATTTGTTCCGAAAAACATTCAATGTGAAAAATAATATTTAGTTATCAAAGTATAAATTGTAAACAGCCTCTGCGGAATAAACTTTAGGGGATGCAGTGTAGTCATGTTGGGCCCTTCCGTTTTGAACTGGAAGTACCTAAAACCATCACATAAAACTGTAAACACAAATCTTAGTGAGTTCCCTAAAATACCACACACAACATACACATAAATACAACAACACGTGGCTATGTCGGGTCTGTATCTACCCCCGGGTTCGTATCAACCCCATGTTGTTTAACAACAAGCAGTTGTGTCGGGTCCGTATCAACCTTGAGTCCATAATGACTCCGAGCCCAGATTGGCTCCATGCACATATCATACAAGCATATTAGTAATAGTCACATAGTTATATATATCCTACACATACGAATCAGTGGGCCGACATTGGTGCCATCGACCAATTACTGTGGTGAGAAGACTCACCTCAATCTGATGTCAAAAAATCACACACTCGAGCTGCTGCTACCACTGCTTCTCACACAAAACATATCCAAGATCAATCCTAATCAATAATTAGGGTAATAACCTATAATCAAATGTATAATCATATTCTATCATGCTAAGGGGGTAAAAGACTATTTTACCATTTCCATACTTGTCCCAACAAATCATGGACCAAACCCAAAATTGCCTATAAAAGCTTCCAGTGGGTATGCCCCGTGTACCACCACTCTACCCCCAGCGTACTTCGTGTTCGAAGAAAAAGATAACGGCTGGAGCCCGTTACACGCAGCGTACCAGGAGGGTACGCCCAACATATACTACTGCTGTCCAAACTCAACTTTAAGCTTCTTAATACCTTAGGACCTAAAGCCCAACACCTAGATCTGATTCTAAGGGACACCTTAAGTTATAAAGTTCCTGACTTTGTGACTTTGCATGGCTTAATGGAGTCCAAACCAAAGCCCTAGATTCATAACTTCACCAAAAGACCATTAACTCATGCATGTAAGAGATATACCCACCAAGATTCGATTTTTATGACTTAATGACCTCATGAATGGCTAGAAATGATGCTTAAAGGTTCTGGAGTAACTTCTACTCACAAGATCCACGCTATGGGACCAAAACATTCTCATATCATAACCCAAAACTAGATCTACACTAAAGAGCCATATAGTTTGAAGCTTTATACCTCCAAAAGAAAGATCAAGATGAACAAATTCTGAATCTACAAGCTCCAAGCCAACCAACACTTCTCCAATGAGCTCATTCTTCTCCCATATGCACCAAGAACACTCCAAATCACTCAAATAGCTCAAGAATCTCACAAATGGGGATAGGGTTTCGAGGTAACTGCTTTAGAGGATGGAGGCTGAAGATAAGAATGGTTTCCAAAAGGTTAAGGCCTTTAAATAGGGTCCATGATCCAAAAATTAGGTTTTAAACCTGCCACGCGTACGCCTAGCGTACTTCAAGTACGCCCAACGTACTAGGAAAAATCACCGCGATCAGTTAAGCCAAGTACACCCAGCGTACATGACTTGTACGTCCATCGTACATGCCAAACTCTTTCCCATTTTAGCTTCCAATGGCCATAACTTATGCGTCCCAACTCCTTTTCGGGGTTCTTTATATGCTCGGAAAGGTAATGAAAAGCCCTACAATCCCATCTAATCTCCTTTGAATTAAAACCTTTCGAACTAGAATCCTTAATTCAATAAAAGGTCTGAAGCATAACTTTACCATTATACCCTTGGACTCCAAAGCACAAACCGAAATCCTGGATCACATAACCTATATAATCCACACCCAACTGGGTCTAAAACCCAAACCCTTGAAGTCCAGGGCCCTAAATTGATCCATTTAATGCCCATAATTCACGAAATAGAAAGCTTCTCGAAACCGGATGTTACACATAAGGCTTCACTCCAATGTACTCATTGGCTTCCAAGCAACAAGTTTTCATTTAAAGGTACAATTTATAACATTTTGATAAAGTAGATTACACAGAATCACATATTTTTTGGGTTAATTAAAGGATCTTATGCTTTTTTAGCTACTAATTGGGAGAAACATTATCTACTCCCCGAAGATGCGGAAGGAGTCATTATTCTACGAGAGTTATTTGCAGCAAAAAATAAGGTACTTGAATGATTTCTTTACTGGGATATGTGCAAACAAGCATTTTCAACCAAAATGCTTTATAAATTGTTTATGCAAATATTTCATCCAGGCTGATATCTTCCTTAAATTTTCTATCATAAAGTGCTTATGACTTTTTTTCTAAAATTTAGTTATAATGGAGAAATGTATATCAACTGATGCAATCACACAAGAAGCTGGTGAAAAGGATTCTTGATCTTAATCCTATAACTGTATGTTCATTAAGTTGTTTTTTTCTGTATTAAGTCGAAAAAAACAATATTATATTTTTTTAATGAGAGAATTACAACAGCTGAAGTGGTTGAGAACCAAGTAGGATTCTCCTATCCTTGTAATGGAAAGACGGGATGAATGCCTTGTTCAATCTGTCATAATGAATGCTTTTGAGCTTATATCTAAACATTAAGCCCTCAATCTCAGTTCTCTTTTTGAAAGGCAAAAAATGTGCAGCCAATGAGATTATATCAAAAATAGAAGAAGCTGCTACACCAATTGGATTTTATGTCAAGAAATATTACTACAAGGTGATATAATAAAAAATGGGACATTTTTGAACATCTAATTTTAATGTTTAAACCACCCAGTTTATTTTTCACAACAGTTGAAACTTCAAGGAGAAAAGACTGCACGCAAGGGTCATTTATCCGTTGCAACAGAGGTATATGTTTTTTTATTTAATTGGAACTATTTGTTATTTTTTTGTTAAAAAATGTTGTATTAACGGACACGTGATTATCTAGGTTGTGAGCTACACGACGCTAATTGTAGGAGGAGTGGAAAGCGAAAGAAATCAGTGGAGCAGGTGGAACTGGAGTGCGAAAAATGGTGGGTGATACGTGGATCTGGGGCGAACAAATAAATTGAAACTGATGGTGGTATAGAGGTGGAACCCTTTTAGGGAAGACGCAAGATCGACGAATCAAATAACAATCTCGAATCGGTTCAAAACATGGCAAGCTGAGAGTAGCCGAACATGGAAGCCTGACTCGTGCATCGCACGAGCTTCTTCACTAGTTTCCATTACATTCTCCATATGTTTTAGTTGCATCATACCAAAGATCTTATAAGTGCTTATCTCATGTGTGCTACTTTTTGGGTCAATAACTTAAAAGGGTAACATATTTTGTTTTGTGTTCATATTTAATCAGATATGTTTTTTATACATATTTGACCATTGAGTTTTTTTCACCTGTGTAAAAAAAATATAATATTATTGGTTGTTATAGGTAATATTATCCTTTTTGAACATATGAAACAAGTTCAATGGTCAAATGTGCATAAAAAATATTGTTGGCTAAATGTAAACACAAAACAAAGTATGTTATCTTTTTAAGTCATTAACCTTTTTTCTATATTTTTTCAAACTAGTTTTTAAAGGTGTTTATCTTTTGTGGTGTAAACCACTAAAGAAAATAACACGAAACATGTTTAAAAATATGGAACGATACTCGGTACTCCAGGTAATACACTCAGAGTATATCATACTATCAAAATCATGATCTTAAATAGGGATGCGCAGTTTGTACCAAATCCCGATCCCGTACCGGAACCGGTACCGAACCGTGCTGAATTTAAAAATATGGAACGATACTCGGTACTCCAAAATAACGAAATCCGGTGTTCGACAGTGACCTTTAAAACACTAGTTATTCTCTTGTGGATTTGTTAATGGAAGGAGAACAAAGAAGATGAATTTTTAAATATAAGGATATCACATTTAATGATACGTGACATTCAAAATAGTTTTTTAATTTATTTAAATGCCAAGTCATCTAAGAAACTAGCTCAACCCGTCGCATGTCTAAAAGTGGTGCAATTAACATTAATTAGTTAAAATTAATTACCGATTGCAGGAAAAAAGTTTGATGACTAAATCAAGACAAAAACATAAAGTTGATTGTGTTATAGTGTCTTTTTCCACATTACTGTGACATTCCCAAATTTACGGTTATTTTAAAAATTTTATTTATGCTTATTTTAAAATCAGAGTATCATTTTTTGAAAAATAGTATTGCGGAATTTGTTCCCAAAAAACATGATAATAATATAATCAAAACATTTCCGAAGAAATGTATTTTTATTTGTATTATAACATTGGGATGTCATCGTCTATACAAAAACTTAAGCATAAACAGACCTTGCATTAATTTACACTAATGATATACATCTCCTTTAATCTCTCAGTGTAACGTATCTTCACATTGATACATGTGATACAAATAAACTGAGTGAGTCAGGTTGGGAAACCTGGTGAGTACATAGGGTTTTCAACCCACATAATATAATTATTATGTTTAATCATCAAACAATTAACCCAACCTCCCATCCCCATTATCTTCTTTATTCTTAACGATCTACCCTAAGAATCATCTATCCTTCATTCATTCATTCCTAAGGATTGTCCTAAGGAATAGGCACGAAGTCCATCGCTGCTAGGGTTTATCAAAGAGGCACTAAATCCATAGTTGCCGATTTTATCTATTAGGCTCTAAGTCCATAGTTGCCAATGTTCATCTATAAGGCACTAAATCCATAGCTGTCAATGTTCATTTGTAAGACACTAAGTCCATAACTGCCAGAGTTTTTAGAGTACATCTGGTGAGCACATTGTTCACAACACCTACAGGTTGCGAGCCTGCTAGCGTTCCACTGGACTGTCTAGAATATTCTGTAGTTGTCATTTATACTCTGCTAGATGACTGGATCATCTCTTGGGTCAAGGCTTCTCATCATTTTTCACCTCTCATAATCTATATCATCTTTCATCTCTCATCATTCATCTACTTATCTTTACCCAATATATTTATAGGTAAAAAAATACATATACAGTTTAAATCAAGTAAAAAAAATGTATAAATCGTTCACCCATCATAGATATCAAGAACACAGATAATATACACACATAACATGTAATTTATATTAAATACTTCATATTTATGTGTAAGATGAAAGTAACTATGCACTCACTTGTTAAAGTGATGACTCGAAATTTGGGCAGCGCTTCACTTCTAACAATCGTCTTTTCGTTTGACGAAAACTAGTATTATTATCACTAGATTTTAGTCTAATATTTATTGTGACTAATTATTAGTCTAGATTCATCATTAACTCAAAGTCTACTTCAATGTCTATCAAGTAAGGAACAACTAGGTAGGATCATATTGGAGGTCGTGTCCGTTTGGTATACGAAGTATACTACTTGGAAATCCCACTTTAAACACCTCACTAAATCACAGCCTAGACATCATCCTCGTAAGTAGATCAATCAATATAACGACTTGGAATCACTGATAAATCTTGTTATAGGTTCATAATAACGATAATGAACTTAAACATAAGTTATACTTAAAGTAGGGTAAGCATAACTCACTTACAATGGGGTTTAGCGAGGAACCGGGCTCTGCGTGGGCAGAACTTATGAGCCGAAATCTCTTCTTCTCAGGGCTTTCCGATGCTCTGGGCCTCGCTTCTAACACCTAGGAGGTGCTAGGGAAAAGCCTAGAGGGTTTGGGGGTATTTGGGAGAGAAAGGTTAGAAAGGTGTGGAGAAATGAAGTGATTTGCGCCTCTATTTATAGGATGAGTCTGATGCGAATGCTGAGCGTTCCCTTGCTGAATGTTGGGCATTCCCATGTCACGTGTCACCATCTGGTGGCAAGGCGTGGGGAAGAAGCAATGGCTCAAATCGCGCCATGTGTCACTCACAGATTACTCCAAAAACTAATTATCTTCTAAAATCCGTAACTTTCTCATACGAGCTCCGTTTTTAACGTTATTTATATCCACGCGTAGGTATCGACAGGATCTACAACTTTTGTTTAGACTTCGTCGGCTAATTTTGACTTTACTTTTAAAGTTGTATTTTAACAGGCTTAGATAGTTAAAGTCCTTTAAAATTTCATAACTTTGTCATCCGACGTCCGTTTTCAACTGTCTTTATATCGTTGAGCTCCTATTAATGAGATCTTCAATTCTCATTTAGGTAGTGTCGGATAAAAATTGATCGATCTAAAATTCGATTTCCGGGCTGTGCACTGTTATGCTAAATCTTAGAAAAATCATAACTTCTTCATACGAAGTCAGATTTGAACGTTCTTTTTATGTACATTCTCGGTTTACCGTATACTATGACTTTCATTTAGGTTAATAAGGCTAAAAAGTAGTTTATCGAAAATTCACTTTTTACGATACGCGGAGTCGTGCCCATTTTTCGCAAAACTTCGACGGGTTATAACTTCTTCGTTATAAGTCAGATTTTCGCGTTCTTTATATGTACGGAATCCTGGCGACATATACTATACTTTGGTTAATATTATTTATTCTAAATATTCTTCTATCAAATAGTCATTTTTAACGCTTATTATCTCTAAATGGACTAGCCCGAATTTGCGGGCGTTACAAGTACTTTCATAATTTACTTTCTTGTTATCAACAGATATCTAAAAAGTGTTGGTGGGTCATGTAAAAACCTAAAATTTGGAGAGATTTGACTTTTAGTCAAATATTGACCAAAAGGGTAAAATGATCATTTATGAGAAATTAGTAAGTTTATCAAGTTGCGACTTAATGAAAATGACCAAGATGAGTTTAAGTCACTTAGACGAAGTAAGATGAGTATGTTCAAGAGAAAGAACGCATGAGAAGATGCATTTTAACCAAAAATGGTAATTTGGGTTTGTTATGCTTTTGTGCCAAGTTTGTGATTTAATAGAGTAAGACTCATATTAAGTCAATGAGGAATGACTTAAAAGAGTTGTAGAGTATGTTCCCACCTTTATGTGGATATAAAGATCATAGAAAACATGTATAGAACGAAGAAGTTATGAATGTTAGAAGTTGGGATAAAAGTTGTCCCGTAAAGCTAAAATGGAATCAACAATGCACTTTGCTGATTTCCAAGTACTGCGACGTTGTAAAAAGATTGTCATGACGCGATAACGTAAGTTGGATGTCATTGACCGAAATCAAATGGTCACCATGACGCGGTGGAAAGCTCACCACAACGCGATATCGAGGATTAAAGACGGATTCTAACTTGTTAGAGCCTCATTTTCGAACCAAAACACCCCAAATCGATTGAGAGCTCAATGTTGGCAACTTTGGTGTTGAAATTGGGGCAAGAGAATCTAGAGAATGTGGATTTTTAGGATTTTTCATCCTCTCCGCATTAAGGTATGATTTCTCCACTTTTTGTGAAAATTATTAATTTGTGTAGATTGGTTGAATTGATCAACCTATAACTTGATTATGATGTAGATGATAATGTATAGATGCTTTAATCAAGCTTAGAAAGTGATTTTCATGGTGGAATCAATCCATTGAAAATTAGGATTTTAAACCCTAACTAGTGATTATGATTGATGCATTAGAGAGTAGATTATAATGAATTAGGTAGTGTGGGATGCTTAATACATTGACTGGGTGGGATTAGAAGTAGAAAATGAGATGTTAGAAATATGATCCATTAAGTGGTCATCTTGAACAAGAGAGTCGTTAAACTCTTAATAGGCCAAGACAAGTATTAAGAAACTTGTATATATATATGAATGTGTCTAAGAGAAAAGAAGATGGATCAAGATACATCAATGGAAGAATTGCAGAAAAAGGATTAGTTAGTCTTCACTAACTAATAAGGTGAGTTATTACCCTCTCTCTCTCTCTCTTGATTATCCTATATATATATTTATATGTATGTATGTATGTATGTATGTATGTATGTATGTATGTATGTATGTATGTATGTATGTAAGTATCATGTATCTGAGTATGATATAGAGAAAAAAAGGATATGATTATATATACTATAATCCTATATAAGATTATGTACTTGTGGT